ACATGCTTTATTGAGCTTTTAAAAAATGAAGCATATGTTATCTTATTATGTCATCCTGGTACAGAAAATTTAGGAGACACTGGAAGTGGGCAAGGAAAGAAACTTGTAATAAGTGATGAATATTTTCAGAGGGTTACTCAAGCTCTTGTTATGCGACTCAGGCAACACGAAGAAACTATAATTCATGAAGGTAAACCATTAGCGTAATTCGTTTAGCGAGATAAAATGGACAGTGGATTATATCTAACAAACCTGAAGAAAATATAATCCTCCATTTTACTCTCTTTTCAATAATATCGCACTACTTTGAATGATGAATGGAGTGGGCAAGGAAAGAAACTTGTAATAAGTGATGAATATTTTCAGAGGGTTACTCAAGCTCTTGTTATGCGACTCAGGCAACACGAAGAAACTATAATTCATGAAGGTAAACCATTAGCGTAATTCGTTTAGCGGAGATAAAATGGACAGTGCATTATATCTAACAAACCTGAAGAAAATATAATCCTCCATTTTACTCTCTTTTCAATAATATCGCACTACTTTGAATGATGAATGGTGTTCACACGCATAAAATATTTGTAGGCACTGGTTTGGCTGGAATGAGACAGAGGGATTTGATACAATGGTATGTAAATCAGCAGAATGAGAAAAACAATTACAGCACCATGGAAGAAGCAGCAGCCGAAGTCAAAAAAGTGAAAGCAATTATTGAGGTAAAATCCTAACTTGATCAGTTCAGTGGGCAATGTAGTTTCAGTTTAATAATATAACATGAAAGAGTTAAATAGAAATGTGACTTTTGGCCATAATGCAGAGCTTGATAAGAAGGGAAGGCCATTTGATAGTTGTGGATGATGGTAGACAAGCGGCAGAGGAAGCTGAAACCGTGAGATCCTCAACCAGAGATGATAGGATTTTAGCCGTAGCTCCAAATTATGTCATCGATTAATTTTTGGTGCTACTCTATGTTGGTAATCAAACCATTCCCTGGTGACCTCTCTGTTTGAGAGTCTGGTTCTCCATGGGAATCGGATTAGTCACTCCGTTTCTCTGGAGTTACAGTGTGCAGATGTCTTCATCATCATTCTACAAATTTATTATGAGAAAAAGGATATTCGGTTTCTTTGTCTCCTGCTAATATCCTTGACGGTTGGAGGGGATAATAGTTTCATGTGTATTAGAAGTAATTTATACTGCTGTCTTGATCTGCAATGTATCATTTTTGTTTATGACATATCTTAGAATCGCTACTGTACTTTTATTCGTTTATCTTTATAGACAATTCCTTATAATGAAAGCTTTAAAGCTGGTATTATTTGACAGCTTTGTGATAGGCAATCAAATACAACTTACAACAACAGTTAGGGGTGGGCGTGGATCGGTTCGGTTCGGTTCTCTATCAAAAACAACTTACAACAACGGACAACAGTTAATTGATTTATCAGTTTGCTTAATAATGGAATTATAAAATATTTTAGTAAAATCATAACTTAGTAGTCAACAATATTTATCATCCCTATTAAATAATGATTATTCAGGTATATGAAATGAAGGGAAAAGTTTTTATTTTAACTATTGTGATGATGGATTCCAATAATATTAGGCGTTCTTGAAAGTAGTTCGTTGAAACAATCAATATGTTTCCCATCAACGGTGCCAAATTGTCGGTTTCAAATTGTCATGATGAATTTCCACATGTTGCTTTAACACCTCTATTAATATAGCAATAGATCTACAAAATAAAACATTTTTGTTACGCATAAATGTGAGGATCTTGCCTACATTTCCACATTAATTTGCAAAAACAATTGTGTCCTATGTATAAATTTTAATTTGCAATTTGTATAAAAGAATTCACGTTATATATATATTGGACCAGTAACTAGACACTTGTGGGTAAACTACGATGAGATGACAATGGGATGAATTTTAAGGTAAAATGCAATGTTTAAAATGCAGAAAAATCACAGGAAAGGAATGGGAATGAGGTAAATTGATAATTAAACAACTGAAATCAAACCAAAATTATAGGAAATTCGTGAAATGGTCATTGAGCTTAAAATGGAAAACAAAAACAAGTTACAATAACACATTACCATTCCAAAGGATGTAAATGTTCAATCAAGCCATACTTTCATTTATATATCAGTAGGGGTGGCAAAAATGTTGAATAGTTCTTCGGCTTGGGTTCGTCCCAAGCAGGAGGTTCTTGCTCGGCTCGTGGGCACAGCTTTTGAGCCTAAAGTTCTCGACAAAAATGTGAAAAAAAAGGTCCAAAATTTTTTTAAAAAATTATGAGTTTGTGGGCTCAACTCGTGCTTGAACAAGCTTGAGCTCAGTTCATTGCTTTAACAAGCCGAGCTCGTGGGTAGATGGCTAGCTTAGTCCATTGCCACCACTATATATCAGCGAAAGAATCCACTTCTCAATTCTACAAACTTTTTAAATTCTATTGAATGCTCATACGTGCACAAGCACCATGAACAAATCTTCCAACAATATCTAATAGGTATAAAATCCCGAGATTCAGCCTAACAATCACATCAAAACGATAGAAAAAAATCAAAGAAAAACATCGCATGTTTATCTCTCAAAACTCATCATTCTACATCACACTTAAAACAATTTTAAGGGATAGAAAAATTAGCGATGTTGGAAGGCCACAAGACATTCCAAAGAATACATCTTCTATAGCAGGGACTTTTCCACTTCTATGTTTTGTTGTGCAGATGAGTAACATGGGGGATAAGCTCCTGTAAACATTGAGAGGGAAAGTAAAAATTAAAGAAAAAGCACATTTCATATTTCATCGATCTGAATTGTAGAGTGAAAAGTTAAGAACATAATGCGATGTTACCTCTGAACAGCGGACGTGATCATGCCGTGAATTTGAAGTTTTCACAATGGTCTCCCACGTGTAATCGTTCGCTACACTTGTTTGAGTCTGTTTCTTGGGGTGATATTGGCCGGAATGTGAAAATGGATTGGGTAACGAAATAGAAGGCAGAGTTCGCCAAAGCCAAGACTCAGATGGTGATTTTGGTAAAGGTGGGGGTAAAGGTGACTTCAGGGATGCAGAATCAGCATCTCTCTGATCGTCTTGTTCTCTGTCTTGTTTATTATTCACAGCAAAGTTTGCATCAGAATGCACTTTTGAACAATCAACAGACCTGGATTCTTGATCAAAACTTTGATTTGGTATAACCATATCAGTTGATCCGGACAATTTAGGACTTCGGCTTTTCCCCTCCCCTAAATTATCCCAGGAAGACGTGTCTATATCAGAAGATTTAACAGGACCCTTCTCTTCAGTAGGTCTGCTTTCATTTGAGGGCTTCAAATTCTTATCAGAGGAATCAAAATTCTTATCTGGTTTTGAACTATCTGTTTTGGTCGCTGCATCTATATACAAAGTTTTTTCGACAGCATCACCTGGAGAACATGATACTTTTCTATTCACGTGATTCCTTGAAACGTCTTGCAAGGCCTTGCACAACTTGCGAGATGAAGCAATCTTGTTAGCATTACGTCCATGAAAGTAAGACTTTGATGCTTCATTTTGGTAGGGAGAAATGGGATGACTTTTGCGCAAATCAGGGATCAGGCATTTTCCTGCCTCAGAAACATTCAGGGATGCTATATCTTGATCGGAAGATTTGATAGCTTCAGTTTCTTCAGTTTGTATGCATTCATCCATGGACTTCAAATTCTTACAAGAGAAATCAACAATTTTCTCATCTTTTGAACAATTTGTATTGATCAGACCATCCACATACAATGTCTTCTCAACAGCAACACCAGGCGAACCTGATCCCTGTTTCTGTATGTGATTCTTAGATACATCTTGCATGACCTTACGCATTTTGCGTGATGAGGCAATCTTATTCACGCTATGATTCTCAATTTCTTTAGGTACACCAAGAAACCCTGCACCTTCATGAAATGGAGACTTTGGTGCTTCATTTCGGTAGGGGGATATGGGACGGCTTCTGCATTGCCTTAAGGGAGACACCCCAGGTCTAAAAGAGTCACTGGAGTAAGAAAACTGATTGGAATCACTCCCTAGCCTGTTTCCAATTTCTAGCAGGTCCCGAGACAGTACTCCAGAATGAAATTTTTTCTTATAAATTGCACGACACACATTCTGCATTGATTAGAAATATCAGGAATCGTTTGCGATACTTACTGTAAGAATCATAGAAACGGAAATAGAAGTTTAACAGTTACCTTGTCGATAGGTCCACTGTGAGCATTTCTGGTCAGTCTCCTAACATTAGCAGCTGGAGCTGTTGGAGCATGGTTTTTTGATTTCATTCCAGGCAATGGGTTTAAAAGGCAAAAAGAATTCTTCACACAAAACCGAGGGAAAATCCCCCAGATTTTTCCTGATTTTTTCACAGGAACAGTACATTCCAGATCATCATCTTCACTTTCCACATTCTCAAAATTCTGAACGTAATGTGACATGATGTTAGAACCATACTGCTCATGTAAAGGCTTTGGTTCCCCAGATACGACCTTTTTAACCGGCTTTGGTTGTTCAATGACCGCTGGTTGCTTCTTCGCTATGTATTGAGGTGTCTCCAACACAACAGCCTTGGCTGCCGGTAAGAATCTGCTCATCATAAAATCTCTAGTTTGCACATCAACAGAGAATGTTCCCGATGGTTTTACTCCTGAACCCTGATAGCCACTCAGTCCACTTACACTGTAGTTCAAGGACCAAGATTCTGTTAGTGACAACTTATCGAGTGCATCAGAATATGCATCGTCTCCACTTTCCGTATCTGAATCATCTCTATAATTTAGACTGTCATGCAATTTTTCAATCAGATTAGCATGATCATTGAACGGAAATGCTTCAATTTGGGTCCTGTTAATATTCGGATCATTCGATCTTTCCCCTGAATTGTATCTCGAAAAACCAGATACTCTCCCAGAAAGGAACTTTGGACTTTCACCTGAGTTGCATCTGATGACACCTGATACCCTTCCTGGAGGAAGCCTTGGTGTATTTGAAGGTTCCTCCGGCTGGTGAATTGGACCTTCCCCTTCTCCTTTAGGCCTTCCAGGGATTTTTTCCCATTGAAATGGAACTGCAGCTGGTTTTGTCACCTCCCCATATTCACAATCTGATTTGCACACAGGTAGAGAATTTTGTCGATTAGGGAGCGACTTCTCTGTCGAGATCTTGTTTACCACTTCTGAAGAGCGAGTAGGTGAGGAAAATCTCCTTGCAGATAAAAGTGGAGCGTTGAAATCTAGTTTTTTCGCCATTCGTTCTCCTGTCTATCACAAATCCGTTTGCATCCCTATGCCTCAAAGCTCAATAAACTACAAAATATTTGCCGACAACATCACTTAATCATAATGTGGAAACAGATAGCAAAGGAAAAATTAAACAATTTAGATCCCTTATTGTACTTCAAAAGCCTATAACCAGTCCCTTATTCAGGAAAATAATTTTCTTACAACCAAAACCAAAGGACAAAATAATAAAGGTTCATTAAAATTTAGCCTTTCTAGGATTCTCTACAGAAACCAGCCCAACCATTCATCTGTGCAAACAGGTAAAGGAAATTGCATCCAATAATTGCACAAAACCTTTAATTTCAACAATGAAGGCTATATACGATACAATATTTACATCGCTGACATTTCCTCATCAACCAAACCGAACCCCATTAACCCCTCATAAGTACAGTAATAAAACTATCAGTTAGCAGTTCCAAAAATGTGTTTCCTTGCATTTATTTTTTGTTTATTATATAGAAACATCACATCAATTACCCAAAGAATAGCAGAAGAAAAGCAAACAGGGAAAAAGATCTTGCTGCTTGATTTCTTGATTATTGCCATTTAATTAACAGAAATTATTTTTCATTACCCTATAAATTTTAAAAAACAATCTAACAGAAAACACAACATTAAATGCCATAATACGATCTTCAAGAACTAAAAAACAATCCGCTAAGGCAAACTAAAACCAAAATCCAGATATTTTTCTTACCTCGTAGAGAGAAAAAGCAATGTTGGGTTCTGGGATTGAGACTGTATGCTCCGTGATTTATGGCAATGAATAAAGAAAGGAGTAAAGAGAAGGTATAGAGAGAGAAAGAGATTGACGAAAAAAGGATACAATGGGAGTGCTTTTCAAAATCATGCATGTTCATTCCTCAATCTGTCTGGGGATTGAGGGGACAGAGACCACGGCTAAACCTTTGGGGGTATAACGACAGTTGAATCCAACCACCTTCCTTTGGCGCCCAATTATTCTTCTCTCAGGCTTGTTGCCCTCTTTTTTTGGGGTTAAGAATTCACTTTGGAATAATAAATTGATGGAGAATGTACGATTAAAAAATAAAGTAATGCTATTTAGTCACATTGAGATTACATTATTAGTGTAGATGAAGTTAATATGACATTAATTGATAGGGAAAATTAAATAACTCTTTCATTTAATATATCATTTAATGCCATTTAAATTGGGATTGCATAGCATTATTCTAAAAAAATAATAATAATTAAAAAAATTATATTTACGTATAATATTATTTTATTGTAAAATGTGTGATCGAAAAATATAAAACAAAAAATATATTTTAAAAATAACAAGGATCAAACAATGAATAATCATCAATGTGTCAACCAAGGAATAGGACTTGCACTTTCTATTAATTTTTCCAACCCCTAAGAAGGGTTTTATGACCTAAATAGTTCTTTGATTTAAATTACACCATCTCTCTCTCTCTCTCTCTCTCTC